GTGCAGTATTCTTTAAATTAAATTACAGTACAGATATCAGATTCTAGCAGTTCTTTTGCTGCAATGAGATAATTTCTGGAGGCAAGACACCTGGCCAGGCTAGAGTGGTGATTAATTTTATGTGTTTAGGGTGCAATCATCACTCAGAAAAAGGCTTAGGGTTTGGATGATGGATGATGGGTAAAGTGCAGGCTGATAGGACATGGCCCATGAATCTGTTCTACATCATCAGTTCCTTTGATCACTGGCAGAAGTTCAGAGATACTTCTTTGCATCTGTCCAAAATAAACAAGGCTACCATATACCTTTTGCAATATCACTTTTAAATACAGACCTATTTGCAGGGGAGCTAACACTTTTTATTTTTGCAACAATGGCTGAGAAAAATAAAAGGCAAACATTTTGGCTTGCATTTCCGTACACGTTTACAGACCAAATGTGTGTGTGTGTGTCCATACACATCTATATACTGTAATGAAAGGTGATAGCAGAAAAGCAACTTTTTTTCATCCCCACATTGCTACCTACCTACCATCTATGCTATAGATGGGATTCGGCATAGCCGCTGAAAAGAAGGATTACATAGCCCGTCAGGAGAAGAAAATCCAAAGTTATTGCAATACTGCACAGCAGTTCTTTTCCTTCAGTAATGCTGGTGGCTACAAATGGGTGAGAGTTTTTCTCACTACTGATAGGAGAATGAGCTATGTAACCAAAGTAATTTCGATTAATAATTCAGCAGTTTAAGGGAGAAGAGAGACAGGATTTGTACCAACCTAAAAGAATACTTTTTTTGTATCTCAATTAACAAAGTACAATTTGATCACTGAAAGCAAATGCTTCTTTATCAAATGATTTCTACTTTTCTTTACCCAATGCTGTCCCCTGCAGGGTGTAAGAAATCAGATCACAGAAGTACTCAAAGGCTAAAAAATAATATATTATTTTATTTTTTATTTAAATCCAAGAGTAGAAGAGAAAGGAATAGCTGAATTAACATCATGTCCTCTATCAGAATTCATTATCAAGCCAGCATGATTTATAATGAATAATCCCTTCAGAAGCTTGGCTGGGTGCTATATAAGAGGCATTTCCTGAAAATATTCTCTCGTATGTTATTGCATATATGCAACACTGCTTTCCATAGGTGTTATGAATTCCTAGTGCTCATGTTGATATTGTGTCCGTGGGCACTAAGCTGTCAGCTGTTTATTTCATAGGCCTCATCAGCTACACTTAAACATGGAAATCAAACAGAACACACAAATTATAAAATCACGGTATGTCTTAATGGACTTTCTTACCACTTTATAGAGTGGGAAGTAAAAAGTATGCAAGACGATGCTCCATATATGTGGAAAATATAAAACTACTGCTCTGTTTAAAAGACAGGTGACCCTTATAAATGAAATACAACTCCTCGGAAAAATTACATGAAAAAAGTAAACAAGGGAAGTGTAAAGGTGGGAGAACTGGTTAGATTTCATTAATAGGATTATCTTTGTACCAAACAAAAACAAAACATGAGGCTTAAAAAACTCTGGGAGCATTTCTTATCACATAGAAATCATGCTCGCATGATTACTGTCTCCTTTCTCAACTGGAAAACACTGCTTTATCTGACTAAGTGCGAATACTGAAATGTTCATTAGCTGTCTTGAAACACCATGGCTTGTCTTTATTGAGTTGCATTTCATCCATAGCCTTTGCACCTGGGGGCACACAATAAATTTTTCTGCACAAAGGGTTTCTCAAGAGTGGTATGACTGTTCCTTTTCTCCCCAGAGTCTGGATGCATTGCATCATCTTCTATCATACTTAGAAGCCCGGGGCCCGGGATGAGGAATTGTTTAGTATCTCCAAACCAAAGCTTGCCACGTAGCAGATCAAATTGTTGTTGCTCTGCCACCGAGCTGACTCAGTACTTGCTTGTTTGATTTAAGGCACAGTTCCACTGTGAAAAGTTATTGTGGAAATGGTATTTTCTTCCTTAGCAGAGCTAGTTCCTACATGTATGAAGAATTGTATGTGCTGACTCAAGTGACAACCATAAGCATTTGCTGCTTCTGCTCTCACCAGCTCTGTGGAGCAGAGACAGAAAAGAGAAAAGCAGGTTGGAGTCTATTTAATCTGCATGTGTTAATGCTCTTTTCCTGGCATCTGTGTGTTTACAGCTGTGCAAATTCAGGGAGAAATACAGCATCCCAGAGCTGTTTACAGGAGTATAATTTGGCTTTCAGTGCTCTGGAGCAGCCATGGAAAGGAAATATCTTTTCCCTGTTTTCTTGGATCCCATAGCACCTGTGAAAAGATCACAGACTTCGAAAGTAAATAAATAAAAATTGAAACAGAGTAAATCAATACTTCATAGTTTTTCGTACTTACCTTTTACCTGTAGTGACTTGCAGACTTTGTGGTACCATAGAAGATTATTCTGTGGCTTTCTGGCTTTGTAAATTTGTCTCTTGTAATAACATCATCTCTGACTATTCAAAGATAGTGGGAGAACATAATGGCTTTTAGCGTCGGTTGCTGCTGCTTTTACATAAAGCAATGCCAATTTCTTTGTAGCTTTTCCCAGGCAGCTATCATGCTTTTGGAGCTGTCTGCTAAGTGTTGTGTACTGCCAGCGCGTGGCACTGCCCTGCACCGACTCTGTTCTTTTCCCACCGAGCCATTTTGGAAATTAGTGAGGGCTTTCTGCTTCGTCTATCTTACCCAGTCTGTTTGTGAAACCGTGAAGGGAGTTCACAAGGAATTGTGGTCTGAGTGCTGGTTTTAGCATGTTCACGGTGGCCGGCTTTATTGCTTCAGGTTGCTTCACCTAGAGAGAAGTTGTCTCTCTTCCTCAGTTTCAAGGTGACTCTGAAGTTTGCATGAGGCTGACTTGGGCTTATGTTCCTTCCCAAAAATGCAGTGGTTAGAGCAAGTAAAGGAGCAAGAAGATTTACTTGAATATTTCAGCTACTTAAAAGAGATTTTGAGCTATCCTTTTAAAATCCTAAGTGCTACCAGATGATCAAACAGCCAGCAGTGTCTGCTGGTTGCTTTCATTATTTTTTCACACTTCAGTAGGAATTGTCCCCTTTGCAGAGCTGTTTGTGGGGCTGTATTTTAAAGCCAGTAGAACTGAGCAATATGGCAGCCTGCTTAATTAGTCCAATACCTTACCATGTGTCTTCAGAGCAATAAAGGCAATCAGTTCACTGTTGAATAGCATTTTTGATAACCAAACTCCCAAAGGCTGTCCTACCCAAGAGAAAGTGGTCATGAACAAGCTGTGCTGTGGCACTCAAAATAACCACCTGCCCCTGTGCTTGAAACTTCCTTAACGCTGAGGAAACAAGGAGCAGTTGACAGCTTTGGAGCCTTCTGTCCAGAGTGGTCAACAAAGTCAGCTTGTGTTGGCTTCAGGATATGCTGGAAACCCATTCTTCACCTGGGAACTAAGGCTGGGTTCTCCTATAGGGCAGTACGATCTTAATGCTAAAGCTGCTGGTGCTGGGAGTGTTTGGTATAGGCAGTTGAATTCTGTAACAGATATTTATAAATAAAAGTGAAACCTCATAATTATGCTTTACACAGTCCGTTTTGAACACAGTTTCTTCTGAGGAAAACTTTGGTTCCTCTCATCAGTTTGTAGAAATGGTGTCATTTCCCCATACTGGAGGAGACAGCAGCTCTGCCCGACCTACAGAGGGTGAAAAAGAAATATAGGAGGTAACGGTGTGGAGCTTATATCCTAGTAAAAGATAACTTATCTCCTAGATCCTAGCACTTAGAAGATGATAGCAATATGTGATTTATCAAAAAGCTGGGATGGGGGTGAGGTTGACTTTGATTTCTGTCTGAAAATAGAAACTGCAAGTTTCCAAGATTCTTTCTAATACGAGGCTAAACTATAAAATATGAGATGACTCTTTAAACTTGCATTTTGATTAACCCTTTAGTTATTGTAATCTGAGCAACGAATATTTTATTGATTTATGTGTGGTTGGATTGGGTTTATGTCCAGTATTGGACATAAAATTTTTATTTATTTATTTATTTTTAATACAGGTATCCCTGTAAACTCTGAGTCTGGTTTAGCTTGTTCAGTAATTCATCAAAATACTGTTTTGCATTCCCATTAGAAGGAAGAATATTGGCAGCCCCAATACTCACTGTTTTGTTTTCATGTGTAGGTGGGTACTGGAGTGCAAATTCGCTTCCTGTTCCTTAATAGCAGTTACCTCCAAGGACCCTGAAGAGAATCCCTAATGCCACTGGAGCTTTACCTTGTCCTTGGAGCCCTTTTGTTAGGAGCATGCCTGACCAGAGGGGATAATAGGAACTTGGAAGACAAGTACATTTGAAAAATGCACATACATACTGCAGAGGCGTAAGCTTGACAATCTTTAGAAGCTGTCTGATAACTTTTTACAAAGCAGCTTGACCCCCTACTGTTATTTTTTTATATTTGTATTTACTTTAGCACACAGAAAACCAATCATGGTTTCTGTTGTATGAGTTACTTTATAAAAGTAGACAGAGGCATGTAGCAGCTCAGAAGAGCTTACAGTCTCCTGCAAACACTTGGCACTTTCTTCCCTTCAGGTCTGAAGTTATTGGGAGAGCAGAAATGCTTTGATTTTATCCTTTTACAGAATCTGGGGCTACAAATGATAATGAAATATTCTTGCAAAGATCTAGTACCCAAATATTTTCTTCTGGAAGAATATAATCATAAGTTTATATTACCACCAATATTAAAAGTTTGCTGTTCAACAGCACGTTACACCAGAAAAGAGAATTGATTGAAAGTGTATATCCGTTCAAATTATTGCAAAAGTACCCAGTTAAACCAATATAAAATTATCTTCCATGTTGCTGTTGGGGATCGTTCTGCTGCATTCACTTGGATGTCAAAATGACAGGCCATTAGCCTAAGGGTAAGCTAATTATTTAAGGGACTTCTCTTATTTTGTACAATAAAGACATATTCTTGAAAATACAACACAAGCATAGATATGCATCAGATAGTGACGTTCTTTTTTTTTTTTTTTTAAATATGAAAATGTAATTTTAGCATTCAAACAGTCAAGACAGTGGTAATTTAAAATAAAACAAGAACAACAGTCATTAAATGGCTGTGTTTCTGGACTTAGATTGATGCTTAACACATTGATCTTCTTCAATAGAAGCTTTCCATATTCCATCTGTTAGAATCTTTGACCTTTTCTTAACACCATTAAAAGATAAAATGTTAATCTACTGAAAAAAGATGCATGACCTTTTAAAAGTGAACTGTACCACTTTACAGTCTGCCATCATTAAAGAACTTTATGCTCAGGAGCCATGCATTATGTGTATCATAGCAATATAATTGTTTAGAATAATGTAATTGTTCAACCAAGAAGATATATACCATGCATAACATAAATTAGAACTAGAACTATGTGAACTTTGAAAACCCAATCAAAATAACATGTCAGATCAAGGCTTACTTTCAGTTTTAATCAGCCTCAACCTCAAATTTATTTTTTATTAATATGCCAAGATTCGTGCATAGAAGAAACCATTGTAACAAAGGAAAAGATTGGTAATTTGGGATAAACAAAACTGCATCACTAGCAAAGAAAGATGCTTTTTTGTTTTGTTTTAATCACCTATATCTATCTTTTTTTTTTTTTCTTTTTTTGGCATAAGGAAATAAATATGGAGCTAATATCTTAAACAGTACCGACGAATTTCAGTAGCAAGAGAATTCTTGAAAATAGACTTAACATCTTTCTTCTAAATCTGAATTGTCTCAAACTAGACTTCTGAATAGCAATGGCCACAATTCAGAACAGCACCAAAGCGTGGTTTAAATGCATTTTAGTAAAGCATTTAGTTTTGAGTACAGGATAATTTGATTCTACTTCAAATTAAGCTTCTGTTCTGAATCCTGACTGCAGAGTCAAACTGAATACATGCTACAGGTTCAGATAACCTAATCTTATTTTCTAATGAGTTTGGTGTTTTAGATGAAGTCCCTTAAATAAGTTTGAGGGCATAGTTGTCTAATTCATAAAGTGTCCACTTAATAACCACATAACATAGGGTCCAACTATCTTCTTCATTTGAATATGATGGTTTGCTAGTATTTTTTATTTTATGGGACAAAAAAACTATTCTATAGAGGAAGGCTCAGATTCTCTAAATTTCAACTGATATTCTGACTCAAGTCCCAGCTTGATCCATTTTGCCCTGGTAGCTCTCTGGATCCTAGGTTAGATGCATCTGGGTTTGAGTATCCTCTCTCTGAACTTCTGTATGTTTTCCACTGGAATTGACTCCATAAGGAAACTGCATGCAAAATCAAAATAGAAGGGTTTCAAGATGGCATGAGCTTAGCTCTTGTATATTGTATTATTTGTTCATAATAATGTAAGTAGCATTAGCAGCATCACTGTGCTGGGGGCTCTCAACCCTGATGCAATGGGTGCATCCCAATGAGAAATTTAGGGCATACGATGGGTTGTTCTTTCATGAATTTGCCTTGCACCCATACTTGAAGGCTTGCAATGTGCATTCAAAACTGTCTCCCACCTCATGAAACAGGCTGAAGTCATGTGCTGGTTTACTCTTCCCACTGACCCACTTGCGATGCAGATGTGCAGTCCTGCAGAAGTTGGCTCTCTGCCTGTGTACTGCATGCCTAGGAATGGAAACTGGCTTAAACCATTAGGAATGACTTCATGTGGATATGCAGTGCTTGAGCCATAACAGATCACAGCAAGTTGAGCCCTGGTCCTGTCTCCTTTGTTCCAGAACTGGTGATGTAGGCATATGAAAAGGATTTGTGTTTAATGCCTGGATAGTAAGGGAGAGCAGGAGAAATGAAGCTATGCAGTGCAGTAGGGTAAGTGGTCAGGCTGGCGTGTTAGCCAAGCTAGCTCTAGGTGTTTCAAAGAGGTACATTTTAAGCAGGAGGATGAAGAGAGAGTTTATGTATGTCTCAGTGTTGCCAAATCTTACAATCTTATCAACAGCATTAAGATGTATGGTAATGCTCTTTAAGTTCCAGCAGTAGAAACCTTGTCATTATTTGAGCCTATTAGGATTCCGTTTAAAAGAAAAAAAAAAAAAGTTTTTAGCCAGGAAAGAAATTTGAAACTGCATCTGAAAAAAAAATATCAGCAAAAAGATAGTTTTAGAGGGTTTGCTGAGAGTATTACAAGTAGAAAGTCGTTCTCCTGTCAATGTCAACTTTTAACTCCAGTTAAAACTTTGTATTCTGCTTTCTGGTCAAGTTGCTGGACTAGCTCTGTCTGTTTGTTTCTGTTAAAGCATCAGCCCGTTTTGTATATGCCATGCATTTCATCTTTGAAGTTAGCAGTCACTTTTTTGTCAAGCTCTCTCATTGTTTTGACCTGCTTCCCAGTCCCAGCCCCATTTTATCACTGCAAATTTCCTCTCTTGCATATTCTTCCCTCTAGGTCATTGATAGTGAAAGCAAGCAATATGTTTCCTGGTGTTCAACCATGTGGCACTTCACTAGTCACATAATACACTAGATAAGCAGCTGACAGTCTGTGCTGCTCTGAATAGCATATGTGCATGCCATCTGAAAGCCAGGAGCCAGAGGACATAGATGCAGCCAACAGAGGGAGTCAATGGCAGCCAAGCAGTGGCCATTCGACCAGCACTTTGGAGAAGAGAAGAATGGACAGCTTCGCACTTATGGTCGTAGAGTAGAAGATTTCAGGTTGTTTTCCCAGTCCCTAAGCATCTTGACAGGCCCTGTGCTCTTCTGCTTTCAAGCTGCAGCTTGCCTACCTGAGAGAAGTTTAGTGCCAGCTCTGCAGGAGGAGGTGATACCCACCAGAAGGTCAAGTATGTTGAGGAAAGGTTGCCCCCCCCCCCCCCATATTTTTTATCTGGACATGGAAGGTATCATTGGTAGTGTTTGCTTTTTTTGTCTGCTAAGGATAGCTACCGAGTAGTGTACAGAAGCTGTAATTGCTATCTAATTAGCATTACGAACTAAAACCTATGTTGTAGAGAACACCTGCTTGCTCTTCCTTTTAGAATATAGTAGTAATGTTTAAAGTCTCTTGTGCATACTCATAGCTTGTTACCAAACAGCTTGAATGATATAGTCCCCACCAACCAAATTGGTGTTCCCTTCAGACTAAGGAAAGTCTAGGTCTCAGTGCTGGTATATATAATGAAGAGAACAACAGTCTTTTCTCTTTGACAGAAACAAGCTGTCATGGTAATAGTGAAATGAGATACAGAAGAGAAAATATTTCAAAATGTTCTTAGACACGTTCAGGCAACATGTAAATAGAATAATAAATCTGGCAAGAAAGATCTGTTTACTTTTTACCTGAAAGGACTAAGAAGTTTTTTTTTTTCCTTTTTAAAATGTGAATTTCGTTTCCTTCCACCTGAAGGCTGCACAGGATTGCAGCTGTCCACAGCAAGAAACTCATCATTCACTCTCTGATCAGCACATACAGTAAGTGACATGAAACTCTGCTTAATTCTCTTGTGTCTTCATGAAATAATTTCTTCACCAACCAAAGAAATCTACTGTTTACCATAATCTCAATTTAACACCTACTCTGAGTGTTCAAAAGTAACTGTCTGCATTTGAATAGGGTTTGCAAAGTAGAAGTAACTGGCAGGGAAAACGAAACAAGCCTTGTCTCTCTTTCCTGAAAGTTGGGCAAGGCTTTTTTTTTTTTTTTTTTTTTTTTTTTTTTTTTTAATCACAGTGACAGGTTACATGGTAAATAAAGTTTGAGATCTTTGCTTTGGCCATTTAAGACAAGAATTGCTTGGAAGGGAACAAAGCTGAGGGGTGCGAAACTTGAATTCAGCCCAAGTTACGCATTCAGGCGGTTGTTCAAAAGCTGGTGGCACATGCACGTGCAGAACTACACCAGGGCTTCTGTAGTGTGACAGAGAGGGGATGTTGCTGCTGACTTACCGAGGAAGCCCCCTGAAATTATTGAGATTTTAGATAATGAGCAGTATGGAAAAGAAGCCTTGGAAAACATTTTACTTCTTACAAATGAATTTATTTGGTTCGTGTTACATAGAAAACATCTGGGAGGATCTCAGCTCCAGCAAACCAGGTAACGGTCCCGTCTTGCCTCAGATTACCATGCATAATACAGGATAATATTTAAGATTCCCTCATCTGCATTGGAATTGGGTATTACATTTTTTAATCTGCAGTCTAAACCAAGTCCCTGTCAGTGTTGTTAGGTTAGCTAGATTTCTGCAGGGTTGCTCTGAGGTTAACAAAACGGCATCCAAATTGGGAGGTGTTTTGCAGGAGGTCTTGCAGCAGTGGCTTTGCTCCACTACAGCATGTAAAACCACTGTCAGTACTCACCTGGGAGCCGGGTGCTGCTCTTGAGAGAAATGTCTCCTGCATTTTTCTTCCCCTGACTTGGAAGCTTATGAGATGGAGAAATTCAATTTGAAAACTTAGAAATGCAATGTGCAACCTTTTCAGGTCATACCTGAATTGGGGTAAAGATAAGTTCACAGTCAGGGTGTATTTTGTCATGTGTTTGAGAGTTCGAAGTTGTGTTGTTTTTTTTTTAGGATGTCTGTGTATATATTGTGTTGATTTACTGTGGGTAAATAACTGTTAATGTAAAATCCTTATGTAATTTTTCTAAAAGCAGGATAGGTTTTCATGCCACGTGAATAGTACTGTACTGCTAAATACAAAAGGCGTAGGGGAAGCTGAAATAAATCAAAGGAATTATTCCACCAAAGAGCCAGTAGTTGCTTCAATAAGATATTTTAGCATTTTTGGATGTTGATTTTTTTTTTCCTGAGAGAACAGAAAAATATTTCTCCTCTCCTCTTTTCCCTTCTTCTGCGTTAGGTTGTTTGTTGCAGACCATTGCATTAGCAAGACAGGGCCATATGAGGGATGCTGCATGAGGTCCTGTTGCATTTAACCTGCCAGAAGATGGAGAGTGTTTTGAATTATCTGTAGGTTTCATTTGTTGCCTGTCTTTGGTCAGGTGAAACAATAAAGCAGTTCACTGTGTAGCTTTTGTACCCAGGTATGTGCTAGAGTCATAAGTTTTTACATCAGCTGTATGTACCTAATCAGAATGATTTTGCCTAGGCACAGCTATGGCTGCTAGAAATAATGCTTTTTAAGGCATATTGACATATGCATTAAATGGAAAACACACACAGAACTGAAGCGCTCAGTTTCCCTACAATAGGAAGAGAATAAGTGTTAATTTTCCTTTGGGGCAAAGCTTTAATAGAATTGCTGCTATATCATAGTCTTCCAGTTATTGTTTAAACCCCATAAGATACTCAAGGCTTGGAGTGTTTGTACCAAGAAAAGAAAAATATGAATTCATTCTCAAGCTCAGATTTGGCAGCCCAATTAAGTTATTCTGGCTTCTGTTACATTTTTGCCCACCAGCATTACCTCATCGCTGTTATTTAGCTGAAGAATTTTACTATCTTGAGCCCCTTGTACCCCATGAAAGTTGGCAGAGAAAATTGAGGGTCACAAGGAGTGTGGGAAGGGGTGATCTAAGTAACTGCAGTAGAGAAAGCATAGAAAAAAAGATGTGGAACAGGACATAGCAACAGAAGCTAAGAAAATGGTGCTCTACCAATATTGTTAGTGCCATCATTTTGGTGTTTATGTGGTTGTGCCTGGTATTCTGCTTATTTTGTTGTTTTTGCCTTTTTTTGTTGGTTTTGCAGCTCTTGGTATGATGGGGAGGAGTTGACTTTGGTTGATGATTTCTGACCATTTCTTAGGTTCTTTCCTTTCCCTCTGAAATAAATGCAGTTTCTCACGTTTCTCATATCTGTCCCCAGTGATTCAAAGACCATTGCACTTTCTTAGCAAAGTTACCAACTTATTACCCAGTATTATGTGTGCTTAGAATTAGGTCTCATTTCCTTTCTCTCGTGGTCATCAAAGACCATATTGCAAAGTGTGGCCCTCAGCAGCTGAATTTTGAGTTCCACAGTGCCCAATACAAATGCATTGCAACCTCCGAGGGTCTGGCTAGAATCCTACTCTGTCAGGGCAATGTTACCATGTCATGCAATGTGCAAGCATAGGCCAGGTGGAGCAGTTAGGAGGAGAGCCTACAGCCATTTTAGCTGCTTCCATCTGCCTGAATGGGAGATGAAAGTCAATTCCATGATAAAATGATAGGTGTCACGTGTAATTTGTAATGGGACCAAAAATGGGTATGTAGTAGAGGTAAATAAACAGAAGATTGCTTACAGCATTTATTCTTTGAATCTTAGGATTCTGTCAAGTTTGGATGATGAGTATTTTCATCTGAAGTTGTCTTGCGGCCTTTAGAAGACCAGACTTTCAGACAACTGAGATGTACAACAGATACCCCATACTGTTCACAGGTACCCAGCTCAAAACCAAAAGGTGAGTATTGCATGAGGAAGCAGGTAGTAGTGTCTCTTTCCCTGTATAAAAGTATTCTTTGTACATATCAACCTTCATAAACCATTTGCAAATTTGTTCTTAAATTGACTATGAAACGTTCTGTTCAGCAGCCAAAACTAGGGGCACGTAAGCATCAGTGTTTTTGTCCATCTGTTTTCTGCTGCTTTCAAGAATTTGTTGAAAGATGCTGTTCTTTGAATTGTCTTTGTTTAATCTATTATGTGACTAAGCCTCATGTAAATTGCGAAGATGTTTGGACTCCTTTTGCTTTCTAAATTTTGAAGATGAGGTTATGCAAATGCCGAGTTTGTGAGAAGAGCCAGGCTGACAGCAGAGAGATTGATCTCCTTTGTGGAGCATGTTCAGCATGTTTCCTTGTTCCCTTGTCAATGCGCCTCAGACTCAACATGGTCTCAACAATGAGTGTCCCAGTTTGATTCCCACATCCTCCCGTCCTCAGCGTCTGTGCTGGGACAGGCAGCCAGGGCTGCAGTTAGTTCTAGCTGATGACCAAAGGTGGAAATCTTTCTGTATTAGGGAGCAAAATAAGCAAAGCAACACATTTTGTGTCGACTTGCAAGGCCCCTGAATCTCCTTCTGCAAATAAAGCTCCTTCATTTTCAGCTTCATTGAAAAATGCAGTGAAATCAGACTTTAATTGGGGGAAATGACACATTTTTGTGTGAATTTCAAGGTCATAAATTAAATGGTGTTTTTTAAGAAGAAAATTAAAGGCTATTTCAGATTTCTTGTTACTGCTGACCCTCTAGGACTGTACTGAACTCCTGCCACCTACAAGCACTCTCGCCAGGCAGTCTGTGCAAATATTATTATTACTTAAATAGAGTCTGAATCATTACCTTGTGTTTTCACTTTGTAGTGAAGTGATTTAAATATAGTTTTCTTATGCTGGTATCCTTTGACAAATGCATAAATAGTTAGCGCATTGTTAGCAACAGTGAAAAGGAAATGGATGCCTGGCAGGAGGAAGGGCAAATAATTTTCTCATGCTTGCTGTGCTGTTTCTGTAGTGTAAATCAACTCCACTCCTCTGAAAGTAAAAACTTATTCCAAGATGTCAACAAAAGTAAAGTAATTAGGAAAGGAAATGTAATTCCTCCCTGCTGCTCCTCCCTCACACACATTAGTAAATGAAAGCTATTTAAAGATACAACCTGAGGTAGACTAATTGGAGCAGATGAGTCATTTGGGACCTGATCCTGGAAATGCTTGCTCACATGAGTAGCCCTTTGATTGTTTGCCTGGGTCAATTCCGAGTGCATGTGCAAATGCTTCAGGATCAGGGAGGAGAAGGTTCAGTCTTGCAGGGTCCTGAGCAGACCACTCCAATGGTGAAAAGTGTGAACTTGAGCTCCTGGCTCATCTGGCTGGGCTCAAGGATGCGTGTGCGTGGTGTTAACTGTCTTGTTGGGTCAGAGGTGGTTTGGTCAGCGTCTCCCAGGATGAGCCCTGAATGCTTAACTTTAAATAGAACAGGAATATTATGAGGCTACTTTGATTGATCTTATTTTGAGAAGGAAAAAAAAAAAAAGGAACAACTAGAAAACCAAAACATGCCACAAAAGTTTCCTACATTTGCTTATGCTTCTGGTTCATGTCTGTCATAAAATTAACTACTGTAATGTGCTTTTTCCACAATTTAGTTCTCAAATCCTTTGGTGCAAAGGAAGCTGTAAAGCTCAAAGGCATATTTTTTTCTTAGTGTTAGCAATTAATATGCCACTAGTCTTTGCATAAATAAGTTGTCTATTTTAAAGCAACTCAAATGGGCTATTTCGTTTTATATGACTGTTAATTAAGATGTTGATTAGCCCTGCTATTGAAGCATTGAAACCCTTTCTAAAAGAAATGGCCACTGTTTCAATTTTATTTTAATTAGTTGGACTTTGAGGTTATTTACTACAGTGTCAGCTATCAAAGTAAAGCTATTTAATTTGATGTTCAGTCCCAGGCAGGTAGCGCACAGAATTCCACATTTGCCTGTAACCACTGCCATTAACAGCGGTATGATTTAAGGTCATTTAAGAGTCATCAACCTCACAGATGGTAAAATGCAAAGTATCTAAAAGGGAAAATAACAATTGTTGTCTTGTCAAATAAAATCCGAACATTGTATTTTTTGTGAACACCCACTAGCTTCCAGCAATTTTATACAGAGTGCGTTTCCCTTTGGGCGGAGAGTGTTAGGTCTTCCCTTTTATGCATCCTTCCATTGAGACATGCTAACCCCCTCGGGAGGTGAAACCCACCCAGATATTTGTGATTTTAAAACTTCATTTGCGTCACTTGCAACAGAGATGGATCATTATTCTGGGATAAAATCACATCCTGCACAGTGAAAATAACAGGCAACATTTGACCTGAAAAGGGAAAAAGGAAGAAAAAAAAAAGGCAACTTTAAAGTGTTAAGAGAAACAGACAGTGTTAAAGCTGCTTCAGGAAACAAATTCTCCCTGTAATGCAGTGTAATTACAATCTTTTCTAAGCTAAGTATAGTACCCTAGAGATTACTATAAGTAACTTATAATAGAATTTTTATTAGTGGTAGTAATTTTTTATGATAATTAGTGTAATCTGCAGCCAATAAAATCAGAAGATATATAGTTATCTCTTTTACACCAGAAAAGTATTCTTCAGACAGCTGAAATGCTAAGAAAAGAAAAACGTGTTATTTTATGATAGCTATACACTTTTATGTTTGGATTGTTTGGTATTCTTTTTTTTATTAGCTCTTTCCATGTATGGTGAAAAACGTGAGGCACACTCAAGAGCCAGTATAAAGCAGCCAGTCTGGGGTAAGCAGTTGACATTTAGTTTCCTTGTCAATCTTTATTCCAGCCTATTTGAAACCTCATTCTTTGTAGAAGCTAGCAACTTTTAATATTTCTCCTACCTGATGGGCTACTCTTGCACTAGCCTTGTATTCACAGTGAGACTGCTTCTCCTTGATTATTAGCAGCAGAGCCATAGCTGTTGAAAAAAAGTGTTTTAATAGCAATAATACCTTACTAGACTGTGTCACGTAGTCTGTATCTTTGAGATTTTGTTGTGTTGATCCTGAAAAAGTTCTTGCAGCACAACCCTTCTCAAGAGCTCTTAAACCTACAACAGGAACACACATGCAAAACTATTCCTTAGTAGGATTAGCTATCCCACATGGCAGGACCTTCTACTAACAGCAGGCAAATGGCTGGGCTTTGGCCTCCTCTGAGTTGGAGAGCTATTTCGATTGAATAGATCAGTGCTGTGCTACTCCTGAGCCTGTTGGGTTGCTGAGAATATGAGGGAAGAGAATAATTCCTAGTAAACCTGCAGAAGAAGTAATTACAATTATACTGTTGATATTCAGGATCATATCTGAAGTCTTTAGTTTGCTTCTTTACATCTCTTGCTGACACACTTCACCAAAAGCATTGCCTGAGTGAAGAAAGACATGAGTCTTAGGTTTATAAAAGCTGGACAAATTAACGTAGGCATTTTGTTTGGAGTGAAGCAAGGGTATATATAATTCCTCCCAACTCAGTTGAGAGGTTGAATTTCCCTTTGAAGGGGAAGAGGGGAGAGAATACTCTAGCAGAGTACTGAGTCTGTACAGATTGGAGATGGAAGGACTATTGTCTCATGTGTTATCTGTGGCCTGATATACTGCTATTTTCTTTTCTCGGTTAGTGGCACAACAACCCCTAAATGACCCTCTTAATCTGTATTATCGTAATTCACTGGCAGCTGTTACAGGATAAAAATAAAAAAAGTAAGATAGATGACCTAAGAGGAACCAAAGAAGGTTTTCATCATCTTTCCTCAGCCTTATGATCTCATGCTCAAAAGTTATGCCAGGGACTAAGGAGGCTGGCAAAACCAGGTTTGCATTTTGTACGTGGTAAGCAATATTAGATCTGCTTTGGAGAAAGAATTGCTCTGATTTGGTATGAGCAGCAGATAATGTTGTAATCCGCCAGGCTGCATAGTTGAGATGGACCTCCTCTGTCAGCTGTGCAGATGTTGGCAGGGATCGTGCTTGTCTGGAATTCCTTGGGCTTGGACTTCACTCAGGGCTGCCTGCGTATACGTAAGGCCTATGAGGAATGCCCACTGGCTTCCACTCAGGGACGGGCATAAATTCTGGACTTTCTGAAAACTGTTGCTGCAGGAAGAGGTCAGAGGTCTTTTCCATTCTCCTAGGCACCTTCTTAGAGGTGCTAAGATGAGATCAGTACTCGCAGCAAATGTACAAATATTCATAATCCCGTCCTTCTCTCTTCTGTGCCCTGATGAGCAGTGAGTTAATAATGTTGACAGCTGACATATTATCACTAGCACCTGACTTGGCATCTGTTGATATGCATGGGGTAGAGAAAGCTCCTGAGAAGTGTGTCCTGCATTCTGCAAATACGGGCACACAGTTGCATGCACTTACCTGTGATTTGTATTTTCAGGGTTATCCCAGTGATGATAAGTAATGCAGACATAGGGTGCATTGAGATCACTGTCTGTGAGCACAGGCACGATCATTTAAAGACTTAAGGAAGGCATTGGTTTAGCTCCTAAGAGACTTATGGTTCCCTACATACCTTGTTCATGCTTTTTTGTGGAAAAATAACAAGTGAGCAACTATTAAATAAGCAGTTATTTCCTTCATGCTCAAGAAATCTTCACTTTGTGATGAAAATTACAAGAGTCTTGCCTTGCCTCTTGTTTCCCCTTCTGCTTCTTGGCAAAGGTAGCACTGAGCAGACCTTGAATCTTCAAGCAGGCAGGCTGCAAAAACAGCGTCCTGACAGTGGAGCTTCTTCGGGTGGACAAAAGACCAAGTATCCATGCTGATTCTGCTGGATTCCTGTGTGCCAGTACTTAGAGACTGTTGGCCATGAGGTTTCTCTGACACTCTTGTGAACCCTCACAGGGACAGATGGATTTGCTCTTGAATGGCTCCATTCTTTTCTCTTTGTGAATAGAAG